AGGTTTGATTTCATGGGAGAAAAAAAATAATTAGTTCCTATAGATTTTTCCTTAAACCAATCCATTGAGTGTCTAAAAATGCGACACCTCCATTCCATCTTATGATTTGGTTCCAACCAGGCAGCTTTGGGACCCACAGAGGGCCAAGAGGGCCAAGAGGCTGTCATGCGGCTGGGATGGGAATGGATTCATAGAGGTCATCATATGTATTTTCTGTGGTAAATCCGTCATATCCATGAGTTCAAAGTCAGGTTACTGATCCATTGTGTGGTTCAGTGGTTTCGGCACCGCAACGTTTCGGTCTCCACAATTACCGCACGTTTCTCCATCAACGTTCATCAGAATTGAAGATAGATCAATTCAACACCTATTCTACACAGAAATCCATGTTCAAATCCCATAATCACCATATAGATCCCATGAGAATCTCAATGATATTCCCATGGTTGTTGATTAAGTCAGCATTTTTGATGGGGATTTCATCCCCAGCAAATCCTGACTAGGCTGCAGAGACTGGACAGGCTGGGAGCAGTTGGTACCTGGTCCGATGGCGAGTTTATTGGGATTTAATGGTGATTTAATGGGTTGTTTATTGGAATTGTATGGGATTTGTATGCGATTTAGTGGTGAGGATTTAGTGGTGATTGAGGATTGACCAACACAGATTGGCATGTCAATGGGAATTACCCTCTGGTTATTTAACATAACTATGGTATAGATCGTCCATAGCTACGTTGAATAAGCAGAGGGTAAGAGATCAGTAATCAATTGATGAGCTAACTAATTATCTAAGGAACTAGTTTGTGAATGAATTGATGAACTGATTCATATTAACTAATTCATTGATTCACTAATTGATATATTTATCAATAAATACATATGTTTCACACGTATATACAGTGTATATACGTATTTACCAACATTCAAATGAACATACGATTTGAACTGTTAGAATGTCGATAATTGTTTATTGAATCAATGTCATTCACAAACTAGTTCCTACAATGTTTATTGTGTCATTTTACGAATTACCCTCTGCTTATTTAACATAGCCAGGGAAAATCACCATTTTTAATAGGTAAGCCCAGGTAAACCATCTATAAATGGGCCATTTTCCATGGCTATGTTAAATAACCAGAGGGTAATATCACTAATATTGACTAATCGTCATGCTTTGTTCAGCGATGACATCTCTCCGTGTCGCTTGTCGGACTGCGCCAGTCGTTTTTTGTTGTGCAGGACACGTTGGTGGACGACCAGGGGATTGGTGTTTGCGAGGTGCGAGGGGAAACTGAATGGAAAATTCATAGGGAAAGTGTGGATGGACCCCGAAATTTCAAAAAGTGATGATTGAGAAGTTGAATCATGCTCGATAGGTCTTAATATGAGCAATCATATGTGTTAATAGCAATCATCACTTTCTGAAATTTCAATGAGCACCTATGAACACCTATTTCAGAAAGTGACCTAGTTAATATATGTTAATAGCAATCTCGTGCTCGACCAAGATCAAATGGGATGGCCCAACGGGAGGCATTGGGATTTTTGATAAATTTTGAAGAACTCAGCATGTTATCAATCAAAATTCATTAAACCGATCATGAACTGATCATGACAATTGTTATCAATCAGGCATTTTTCGTTCGGAAGTGTTAGTGGTTCTGAAGCCATGATCGGAATACAATTCCGTCAGTTACTTGCGAAGAGATAGGAATCATGATATGCAAAATCCCGCGAGACGGAGACCATGTCCATTAGCCAAAGTAGGAAACTAATGTCAGTGATTCCCGTGGGTATGTTTGTTGCCACATAATTGCATTGTGCATCAGGTAGGTACCCTAGTAGACACCAGATGGTGTAGCGTAGTACAGTAAATATTAATGCCCCATATGCAAGAAATGGGCCGTCAAAGACCCTGGCCAATTTTTGCACGGTCCCAGTAAAAAGTCCGAAAATACATACAGGATGGTGCCCTTCCAGTTATAAGTTGGTTTATAACCCCATCTAAATATAACTATAAGTAATTATAAATATCATACACTATTGTTATAACATAGTTATAAACCAACTTAGCTAACTATGTCCTGAAGACCCAGTACTGAACTATACCTAAGCCACCTTTTTACTGTGTCCTCATTCAGATGTATAAACTAGATAATTGGATACCTTATCATCAATATAGTGGGTTTTGGGGAACAGGGATCACGACCGGGATAACCAAACAAAAACGACCGTCGTTCAAAGTCCCACGACACGACGGTCCATCCCTCGGGGACCCGTCAAAAGGTGTCAGAAGCGGAGTTTCAACTTCTCTTCGATGCAGGTGTGCTGTACCAGGCGCTTTCGGAAAGCTGGGCCAAAAAAGTTCGCCACTTTTTTACGCTGCCAAAAATCGCCAGGTGTCGACATATGACTTGGTTTTTTGGGTGTATGGGGGATAGAATTGTTAATGGGTTTACATGGGTTTATAAATCAACAAACAGCAGTGGGAAAAACACCGGTCTGCAGGTCGGATGAACCTTAGTGATTGGTAGGTCAACAGGCTGGCTGTTTGGTAGACCGAAGCATAGTCATGGTCCCGGATGAGATGTAGATATTGTGATGTTCATCTATCCCAGGTTTAAAAAAACTTGAATTTTGACTCATATCCATGCGGAAATTGCAAAATAATTGACTCCACATATTGGATGTTTTTACCCTCTGGTAAACGTTTACACAACTATGGAAAATCACCATGCTATTAATGGGTAAATCCACTATTTCTATGGCATGTTCAATAGCAAACTGTTAGTTTACCAGAGGGTATTTCTTGAAGAAATCACCCATTTGGATCCATGTGCACCCCATCAAAAAAAAGGTGTCCCGATTGCCAACCGCTTCCATAGTTTTTTCCTCGGTCAATGGGTTATTGTATGTTATTGTAATCCCATATCCCAGGTTTACTTGTGTTTGCAAGTCTGCCGTGAGGCTTATGGCTTCTATCCACAGCAACCTGTGGGTTTCTCCTTCATTCCCAGTCCAGAAGCCCAGCTGATAGCGGCAATCCAGTGCCGAAAATATGGGGGGTGTCACTATGGACAGTCTGAAAATGCGCGGGATTTATGCCCAATCTATGGCCATCAAATAACAGTCAAGATGATGATACATCAATCATTCTAATAGGATTTCAGAAGTGCCCTCTTCTGAAACAAACCCAGATTGTTCAAATCGTTGAAGCTTCACATCTGAGCATTTCAAAAAAAAACGAAATGAAATAATCCCCTTTTCCCGATCTCACTTCCAAGCTGTTGAACAAGCCTAGCTTTTGTTGAATCTCTGACGTAATTGCCATGGTACAGGGTGAAGTCGCTCGGCCGGTTAGGAAAGTCCCAGTTATAGGAAATTAGGAAATCCCCGTTTTTATTTCTTAAATCCCTGTTTTTTGGCTGGTTGAAGTCCACATCATGGTTGTCAAAAGCAGTTGTTTTCAGTGAATTTCCGTCATCGAGGCTTTGGTGAACAGATCCCAGCTGAAGCTGTGAATTTTGGCGGCAAGATGGCACCATTTTGGATATGTTGGGGTTGGAAAAGAGCAGCCTGATGGTATCATGGTCATAATGAAGCTCGACGGGGCATCCAAGGGCCCCAACGCCCAAACTTGGGACTTCATAGTCATCCTGAAGGTTGATAGAGGCTGTTTCCAAGTCTGCCAATCATTGGGAGCCCGGCCTGGTAAACGTTGACATAACTGTGGAAAATCACCAGGCTATTAATGGGTAAATCAACTATAAATGACCATTTTCAATAGCTATTTTGACATAACCAGAGGGTAACCCTTAGTTGAACATCAAAAGAGCTGCTGAAATTCGGGGAGCTGTCATGGGATGGCCATCAGAATTTTTTCGGGATGTCGGAAAATTTCATCGCCCGAAAAAAATCGCCATTGAAAAGGGAAATTGATGTTACCCTCTGGTAATTTAACAGTTTGCTATTGAAAATGGCTATCTACAGTTTATTTTACCCATTAAAAATGGTGATTTTCCACAGTTATGTTAGTTTACCAGAGGGTAAACCATAGGGATTTTCGACAAGACTCTATGAAATGGTGAAATGGTTCAATGTGCCATTTTCTTCAGGTTACGAAAATATACGAAAATCACATTTTGCGGGGAGAGACATCATCTGTGGGACCTTACGGAGTGTCCAGACCTCCAAAAAAAGCTGATGTGTAGCAGGAATCCTGTAATGGTGGTGTGCGATGATCATAGAACTCACAAACAGACTGGGATAAGTATCCACACGTATTCACGTTGGGGAAAAGACGAAGACGATCTACCCTCTGGTAAACTAACATAACTATGGAAAATCACCATTTGTAATGGGAAAACTATAAATGGCCATTTTCAATAGCTATTTTGACATAACCAGAGGGTAAAATGTGACAAAAATCGGCCATGACTCTGGCCACAAGTGCCAAACGCGGCTTTGGAATCCCAGAATCGCATCGGTGGTTCATGACGACCATCCCTGGGATGGCCCAGCTGCTGGCGACAAGCCAAGAACACTGGCAAAGAATCCAAAAATACCCGGCCTGGTAAACATACAAAAAGCTATTGAAAATGGCCCATTTATAGTGGATTTACCCATTAAAAATGGTGATTTTCCATAGTTATGTTAGTTTACCAGAGGGTACCCAAACATCACAAACAAGCGACGATATCTAGTGTAAACTGGTGCGTCAAGGGTGATTCCTCTGAATGATGTGGATGCCCAATGTCAAGAGACACATACCATGACATACCGACATTTTGCTGAGTGCCTATTTACGCTCCATATCTACTGTAGCAGATAAAGGATGGCCATCTATCCCAAACCTTTTTCTTGGTAGTGTGCGACCTGTTTTGCTGCCTAGATATCTAGTAATGAGCCACATTCTGCGATCAGTTAGTACCGGTGGTTCCCACCAAACCTTTCCAAAGTTGAGACTCATGATGGTCCAAGTGAGAACGCTGGATGCCCAGGACTGCTGATCCTCAGCCTCGAGTGGAGGAGTGGTACCAGCCCAACCCAGTCCCAGTCAACCCGGCGACAGCACCGGTGCAAGGAATCTCGCCGATGCTGGGTGCGATGGACCCCATGTACCAGCAATACCAATACCAAACTGCGCCGCAGATACCACAGATGCAGCCCATGCAGCAGGGCTTTAGCCCGCAGTACCAATATCCCTACTACCAGCAGGGCCAATATGCCCAGTACGCCGGCGCGGCGCAACCCTATGGAGCACAACAGCTGTATCAACATCAGATGCAGCAAGCGGCAAATCGGCCGCCCTCTCAACAGGCCGGGGAGTGCTTGGGGAAGTCGACTCTGGAGGGTTTTCCCTGCTGCAATCAAAAGTGGAGGCCATGGTCCTCCTTTTGTATCCTCTTGTTTGGTCAAAGCCAATTTCGCTGGTTAGATAGCAAAGTTTTGTTGATTAGAATGACAATGAAACACACAATATCTCCGTTCGGTTGAACTCTGGCTCATTCAAATCCCATGCGTGCGGATATTTCACAAACTGGGCGATCTCCAAAACCTCAATACGCAAATTGGAAAAAATTATGTTTTCAAAACAATGATAGCACATGATAGCACTACCATTTTAATTTTAGGTTGACTAAAGTCCCTTTCATGTCCTTGTTGCGTCTTTTGCAGTCCACTCCACCCGATTCGCAGGCTCAAGCACCAGCGTGCGAGGGCACAGATGGGAGACAAATGAGCGGTCAAAACGTATGAGATACATTGAGATACCATATGTGGGTGGATGAACATCCATTTAGAAGCTCTAACCAGAGTACAAGGGCTTGATCAATACCCACATAATTGTGACGATAACTCGGGCTACTCTTAAACGCTATCATTTTGTGTCGTCTGGCAATGTAGTTGTCTTATTTAAGCCTGGGATGCTCCAAGTGATGATCACAGTTATTGTCAAGATGCTTGAAAATAGTTTCTATGCTTTACCTGTTAAAGAAATTCGCAATATTTCAGCTTCATGTTCTTTGCCACATGTTTCTCCATGACTTTGTTTGGAAAGCATCTCTGACGCTCTCCATTTGCTTGCCTGGAGAATTCATCCTTGTTGCTGTTGGTTATTTTCTGCTGCGAGAAAGGATGACAAATTAAATTGATGATGATGATGATGATAGCAGCAGTGAAAGGCTTGCTGGTATACTTGCTTACATGCTTGCCTGCTCCATGGTATTTCATGTCCTGTAATGTCTAGTCGCGTGGTAAACCCAACAATCAATTCACCACTTGTTCACTAGACACAATTCCAAAATACCAAAATCAAGTCGAATTACAATGAATTACATAGATTTGGTGAAAAATGGCTGCCATTGGCTACCCCAAAATCCCAACTGCTATTTTTTCATGGCGAAAAACTGGTCCTTTTTGCGAGACATTCCAGGTCTGGCGCGGCGGGTCGTCGGCAAAATGTCAGGGTCTCAAAAAAGGCGGCGTGTTTTGGAACGGATGATGGCAACAAAGTGGGCTGAAAACGTGGTATACCATGGGAATTCACCATGTATCAAAAACCATGGTGCTTTTCACCATGTGATACGAATGCATCTTTTCGATGGTACCATGATTTTTCCCTTTTTTACTTGGCTAGATTTTTTCTCGGTACCTAGAGCAGTATCTGGTGGGTCCCACTGATACCGAGGCCTCAAAAGACAGCGACTCAGCCCCAGGCAGTTTGGCGTTGCGTGAGCCCGGTGGGAGTTGCATCCAATTTGTTGCTATCTTGGTGAAATTGATGATCAACTACCCGATGTTTGGATATAAACTGGGCAATACAGAAAAGCCATGAAAAGCCGTGCTGGAAAAAGGGGTCAGATGGAGGTCCAAATCCAACATCAGCACCTAGATATCTGGGAGATACACCTGCGCGGACGGAGCATGGGACCTTGACCAATTTGCACCATGTGATGGATTAAGATGGATGGAGCGGAGTCCAGTGTCTTCCTGGCTGATAAGATCCACATGTCTGAGTCAACTGGATGGCTACTGGTACAAGTAGAATCTCTGACTGATGAGGGTTTTTTTTAAGGTTATTGAAGTCTATGATATTCCAACTATCTCCAATTTTAGCTGGTTTTTTGCATAAATCAAGGCTTACCAACCAGCCTCCGGTACTCAAACATGGCTTGCTGGATTTTTGTCCACTTAAACCTCCATTTTGGGGGGCATTGTCCAGCTAGCCGCTAGCCATGTTTGATGGTGTACGGAGGGATATCCCATCAAGCCCTATATTATATTATCCCATGGTTTATAAATATATAGAAAAACATTATTATCCCTATATTATCCCATAGTTTATTATATTATCTCATGGTTTCATGGTTTATCCCATAGTTTCATGGTTAAATCCCCATCAAATCCTCAACAGAAACCGAGACATCGTCCATGCAGGTAGCCCGGAGGCTTCAGATGCAGAAGCTGAAGGTGACAAGGAGGTGGCCCACATTCGGGGCTCAAGTTTTGGATATGGCCCAACATTTCTTTGGGTAGATATATATTATATATATATATAGCCACCCCAAAACAATATAAAACAATAGGCCAATAGGAGTTCGTAGAATCCTACCTACAATATCTTAAGATAATGGTCAAGTTCATCTCTTCGATTTTTTTCGGGGGTGATGATTTCGTGTCCATCGAACACCAGACATCCGAGCACGAAACAGTGGGATAAAAACAGGCGATGGTAGGGTGCTAATCAGTTGTGAGGGCAATCTGTAAAAATATGTGTCTTGTAACTAGTAATGAGCAAACACACGTCTGTAAGGTCAACTATATCTGAAAATATAGCAGCATGTCTCTGGATCAGACGGGGCAATGGAAAATCCACTGTTTACAGATAAGTTTCCAGCCACGTTTGATGACACTGGAGGATAATTTGGCCCCTCTGCCCAGGCAGAAAGTCCCAAGGATGGCGCCAAGAATGCCAAGAAACCCAAGGGTAAGGTGCAAAGTGATACCTCTCGGCCTGCTGTTTCGATACAGGATTTCCATCATGTTGGTAAAACGACAATAAACCATCCCCAATTTCACCATGTTTATAGCTGGTATATATTTTTGGATTTCAACCATTTCCAGTCATGGGTGGTTGATTTTTTTTGATCCAAAACATTGATCCAATGGAGTTTTTTTTTCCTCATGTATGGCCATTTTGATGGGGACGATGAACTGTGGAACGACAAAAGGTCGTCAACCAGGTGACCGAAATGGATCGATTAAAAAAATGGCCGTTTCGGCCGTCACCTGATGGGGGGGATGCTTGGGAAACTCCTGGCAGATATCAAGATGTCTATTCAATGCCACGGCCACCCTAGGGTGGTCATCTCTGGTCATGTTCTGGTGAGGAACAGCCTATGCACCTAGTCCAGCAGTTGAGACGCAAAGGTCAAGGTGGTGCTTGACCAGACTACAACTGCTCTCCGACCTCATTCACCATTCACCTCCAGCTATTGGGAAGGGAACCAGTCCATGTCCTGAAACTTGGGACGAAGTCATCCCCCTTGGCCGGAGAAGTCACCCATGGCAACATGGCAACAAGGCCGACGAGGATCCGTCGATCCAAAGGCATTTGGGGCTCAGATCACTGCAGGGAGATCTACGAAGCAGTCGTCCAAGGCAGCAGAAGCAAAAACGCCGTCCTTTGAGGATGAACCAAAGAGTTCAATGTGCGCCGAAATGTCTGAGAAACAAAGGATTCTCTTCACCAAAGGATTCTGACCAAACAGTTCTGGTTGATGGTTTCGACAACCATTTTTTAAGGTGAGGACCATGATCTTTCATGCTGTGAGCTTTTGTGGGTGTGAAAACCTGCTATGGTGAAATGACTAGCAGTGACTAGCAGTGTAGAATGTTTGGAGATCTGATGCCAATCTCGCCCAGCGTAGTTTCCAAGCAGTTTTGGTAGGGGGCATTAACGTGAGGGTGTCTGAAAATTGCAGATGTACCGCAGTTTCAATTTATATATACTGTATATTACTGTATAATATATATATATATACATGTATGTATACCATTTTGATAAGGAAAATGATAAGCCTAAGGATGGCATGGGTTGTCGGCTTTTTCGATGACTTTGGAAAAACAGATCCACGTCACAAGCCATGAAGCCGCCAACGGATTGGTGCTTCGTGTCCTCTCCATGGGATGAATCATGGGTGCTACTTCTTGTTGGCCCATGTCATGTCGCACAAGTGATAGATGGGGTTCTGACATGTTCTGACGATCGATAGCTGGTGTTATACCTGCCTATAGCTGTGACAGAGAGAGGGTTTCTTGTTACCTTCATATCTCTTCGTATGTTGCCGGGCCCATCATTTTTTTCCAGAGTTCCCTTGGCTGGTCACAGCTAGGCAGCGGCCAAGACCAAAGTTCGAAAGAAACCCATCGAAAAGCCTCCAGTAGACAAGGGTGGCCTGGTGGGACTGGGAGGTTCAAAATTATTGAACCCTCATGGTACTAGACATGAAGAAATTTGCGTATCCCTTGATACACCATTTTGAAGTCACAATCAGTTTGGTCACATCCGGTTTGGTGAACGTGCGAGCTTTGGCAACATTCATCCGGCTGCAAAGAACAAGATCTCGATGACCCTACTGAGTTCCTTGTTGCGTAGCTTGACTCGTTGCCCAGCATTGTACAAGGGTTGCAATGTGCTGCAGCCATTTGCAGCCACACTGTATGATTGTGGAGAAACTTGCTGATTCAATAGCCCTTGTTTGATTGCCCCTGGGGTTGCCGGTCGAATCGTTGAAGAAACCATCTCTTAATGTGGATCCGTGTTGCGGAAAGTCCAAAAAATCTTCGTCGATTGCAAAAATCCGACCCGACCAGGTGACCAGCTGAATGTCTGGGAAATGACCATGGGAAAATGTAGATATGAATAAGTGACTGTCATGGGCATACTGTAATTAGTAGCAGCAGCACCCGGCTGGGTATTACTGGCCTTCCGAATATTTTCCGTTGGAATACCAGAGGATCCTGAGGATGTACTGATAGTTCTTGGCAAGGAAAACTCATTGGATTCCGTTGTGTATCAACCATGAGTCTCCATTGTTGGGTGCAGGATCTGACCTACAAACTAAAAGCTACTACAATGTGGGGCCCCCAAGATAGCTAAGTTGCAATAACTATGATTTATGGTACTTATAACCATAGTTATGGGGGTTTATAAACCAACTTTAACTGGGGGGCCCCACATTGTATGATCTATGCATCAACCATAGAGGCACCAAAAAAAAAAGACCAGGCACCAACAGACTCAGCTCACGCAAGGT